CATAAGCATTTCATTTAGGGAAACACTAAAAATATAAATGCGAAGGTATTTTGAACAGCATGGGATGAACGGCAGATTAATTGAAGATGCAGACAATGAAAAGAACCACGTCATAACATGATGAAAACATGAGCTAAATCGTGCCCTATGAAATAGAAATGCTAGTTATATTAAGATAGATCTTCAGCCCAAGCACCATGATTTTTTACACAGCTATCAGAACATTCTCTAGATAGGTCTGAAGCAGACTTTATGTGGAAATATCTGCAAATGTTTCCCATCTTAATTTTCCAACATACTCTTCTTTTAAGTCTATCAGCTTACTAAAAGATGTTGAAAAGTCTTGTAACAATAATATTTACCCAACTTGATTTTTATCTATGGGAATGCAAAAAGTGTAGAAAGCCCTCTTTCTTCCCTCACTGGGAGTTGGGTTCTTTGACCCTTAAGTAATCTTTTGGAGAATTCCTGATTGCTCCATCTATAAATCTTGAGGAAACAAACAGCTTGGTTTTTACTGTGTTACATTGAAAATTTCCCTATCTGCTGTCTGTGATCTCTGCAAATTCAGCTGATGGTTACTGAACGTGGGGCAATTGTTTGCTGCTGTTTCTTTTTTTTTTAAGTGAGTAATGGAGTAATTATTGCTTTTTAAGCTTTCTTTTGTTTTTGCAGGGTTAATACAGTCTTAAGCAATTTTTGTTTGTTATATTTCTACCACAAACCAAAAGCAAAACTTTTTCATCTTATCTTCTTAAGTTTTCAAACATAGCCTGGATGGCAAAACAGATGTATTATAGTAGGAAATTATTATCTGCTGCTTTGTTAAAATCTTGATAATAAAGGAGTTTGCTTAGGTAATTTTAACCTATGAATCCATGTTTTGGTACATTTCTAGCAAATACACAGCAATTATGAAAATTATTTGATTTTGTATGTTGTACATATGATGTATTATGTATCATAGTATTTTACAACTCATGCAGTTTTAAGGAACACTTTATTATTATCTCTCCATATCTTTTTATTTTGTGTGTGTGTGTCTATGTATTTACATTTGTGTTTCTACTTGGTAAAATTAGATTTGTAATTTGTATTCCACAAAAGTGGATTAAAGTTATGGAGTAATAGATTGCATGTTAGAGTTTGTGTCTAAGTCTGTGTCTATACAAATAAAACCCATGTCTATATACATAATTTTACTAATATCACTTATGCAAAATAAAGTAAAAATTTTCAGTTCAGCAAATTGACTGGCTTTTCCTTCTCTCTCATTCTTACTCTCTTATTTCTTTTTCTTTCTCTTATTCTTTTACATTGTTCTTTTTTGGCTTGTTTACATGATGCCTAATCTCTAGTTTGATCTGTTGTGGAGCTGGGGCTCAATCCCAGGACCCTGACTGAGATCATGACCTGAGTGGAAGGCCGACTGAGTCAGCCAGGTGCCCCCTGATGGAATACTTTTGCTGTCCTATAGCAATGACAGCGTAGATGAGACAGTGGAGAAAATCCTTTAGCACATTTTAAAGGCACTAAAGATGAAATTAAAAAGTAGATTTTTTGAGAAGTAGTCATTGTTAAGATTTACCAGATTGGTGCAGATGTCTTCACCTGGCTTTCAATGTTGGACACTGATCATACTAACAATGTGTACTTACCACAGTAAGAGGTTTTGTATAAAGTTGGGGGTTCTTTGATGATTCATATTATCTACTTATTTATCAAAATCTTGAGAATAAAAGATTCTGCTTTGGTAACTTTAACCTATGAATCTATTTCTTGATGCATTTTTAGCAAAAAAACAAACCCCAAATAGCAATTATGAAAATTAGTCAATTTTGCTTGTTGAATGTACTATGTATGTATTTTACAATTAATGCAGGTTTAAGGTGAGCACTTTATTATTGTCTCTAATCAAATTAATAATACAAATAGCATTAAAAATCCCCCAAGATCAGACTTTTGAATTGTTTTTTTTTTTTTTTATGGTTTCTCACTTCCTTTTGGGAGGAGACCCAGGAAGAACAGCCTGTAAGGTTCACAATTTAAAATGAGAGTAATTGGAATCTACTAGAAGTTTTCAATTCCAAATCTAAGCCCTTTCAAGATTCCATAGTCCATTTAGTATAGCTTGAACTGTTAGTATTTGTTTTGCTTCATGCCAAACTCTACCCACACTGAAATTATTTCACTTCTCAATTTGTGACATGTTCTTGCCTACAAATTACTTCTCCCCCGATATCTAGACCACCCTTCTCCACGCATCCTTCTTCCCTTTGTGTAGCTAACTCCTACTCACCGTTCAGACTCTAGTTTAGATTTTCTCAGTGAAGCCTACTCGAGTTAGGTTAGATAACTCTTTGCTATCTGCTTCTGAAAAATCCTGTATCTTTCCTATGAACATTTTGTTAAAATTTCTTCTCTGCTATCTGTTTTATTTACTCATATAAATTCACATTTATTTATATGAGATCCGCACGATGAGAGACTGCAAAGAGTGGTAAGCCAAGGGAACTTGAATCTGCGGAGGACAACGTGGATATGAAACTCGGGCAGAACTCTGAGGAAGAAGAGGCCCTCTAACAGGATCTGAGAAGAAATAGAGGCAGGGAGAAATCACCTCGAGAGGGAAACAACATTTTTAGGAATGGTGAGTACCAGGGTTGAATTTCCGGTTGGTTCCTGGTTGTGCATTACTCATAAATCTTTCATTAATGTTATTACGCTGCACAGTTTTGTAAGGAAGTATATTGGGAATTAGAAGAGAGAAAGAATGGGCTTTGTGCTCCACACCGCAGATAATGTCGACCCATGGAAAAAATGGGAGCTGCAGGTACCTGAGTAGTTGTAAGGAGCTAAATGACATAGCAAAAGCAGTTTGCAATGTGAACCAATGAGTGAGAAAATAGGAGAGGACACTTCCTCCCTCAACATTGTGGAGCTTTAAAAGAAAGTGGACTTAAAATACCCAAAAGCAATAGTAAATGAGCTGGGAGGTAGATAAGTGTGAATCAAAGTTCTAAGATCCATCTTTTTTGACTAGAAATGTAAAGTTAGGCATTGATAAGTTGGATTTCTTGAAACTATGGATTGTTGTTCTTCATCATGTGGTAAGTTTTCAGTCATTGTCACTTCAAATGTCTCTGACCCTTTCCTTTCTCCTCCGCCTGTAAAAATCCAACTAGACATTGGTAAGACCTTATCCCCAAATCCGCCATGTCTTTTCATTACTTTTTCCTATTTACTACCTCTTTATCATTCTGATGTGAATTCCAGATAAAGTCCTTTTGTTTTAGTTCCTGGATCTCTGATTTTCTTTTCAGCTGTGTCTATTCTGGTATAAAACTTCTCCATTGAGTATTTTAGTCAAACCATTATAATTTTTACTTTTAAGAGTTTTGTTTGAATTATTTACAGATATGCTTGGTCTTTAATCATATTCAAGCTTCCTCATCTCATATGTGTCTGTTTTACTCCTTCCTCAATGAGCAGAGAAGTGCTTTGTAAAGAGTATTCACTTCCCTCTTTCACTGAGTGCTCAGCTGTGCTAAGCTGTACAAACACCTGGGTTGGTTAATTAAAAATCTGAAGTCAGCCTTATTAGCAAAATGGAATACAAGGTGGGGGGTGGTGAGAAAATTTCCATCATTCTATGGAAGGGACTACTGTTTGTAACCCATCTCTGGAAAAGAGATCTGTTTTTCTATAGAGGTTTGTAATTTTCCACATAATATACAAAATACTAAGGGAAGCATTTATGTTTGTTTGTTAGATTTTATTTATTTATTTTGAGAGAGAGAGAGAGGGAACCAGGAGATAGAAGCAGAGGGAGAGAGAGAATCCCAAGCAGACTCCACACAGAATGTGGAAAGCTACATGGGGCTTGATTTCATGATCCTGAGATCATGACCTGAGCTGAAATCAAGACTGAGACACTTAACTGATTGAGCCACCCAGGTGCCCCAAGAATTTATGTGTTTTTTTTTTTAAGATTTTATTTATTTATTTGAGAGAGACACAGAGAGAGAGGAAACACAAGCAGGGGGAGTGGGAGAGGGGGAAGCAGGCTTCCCGTGGAGCAGGGAGCCCGATGCGGGGTTGGATCCCAGGACCCTGGGATCATGATCTGAGCTGAAGGCAGAGGCTTAATGACTGAGCCACCCAGGAACCCCAGAATTTATGTTTTTTAACTCAAAGTATTTTTAATGTAAAAAGATATAAAATAATAACTTTTAAAACTATCAAAGAAAGATAAACACCTGATGACTTTGACAAGAAGTTTTATTTTAAATATTTTATGGTTACATCTATATTTCCATACATCAAAAACAGAAAAAAATCTCTTTGGGAACACATAAAAGCATTTTAAACTCAAAAAATAAAGTCAGTGTTTAAAAACACAATAATTTAAGTGAAATTATTAGAATCCATTTGTAAATAATAAATAAGTTTTATCTAGCAAGAAATTACTTTGTTAACATTGCCTGTTGAATTTTTGCTGTTTTGAGAAACAATTCTAACTCAGGGTTCTGATGATTCAACACAGCACTGCACAATAAGGCTGCCTGTGATAAGACAAGACTGGGAATATCAAAAATAGGATTGCCAGTTCAATGAAAATTTCAGATAAATAATGATATACTAAAAAATTTAGCCATTGTCTGAATTCAAAATTAATTGGGTGTCTGTTTTTAATTTTGCTAAATCTGGCAACCTTGTTCAAAATAGTTCTCTAATATAACATCATTTAATATTAAAATAAATATAAATTCACTACCGTCATTCTACCAGCCTATCAACAATACTTCCTTTCCCATTTTTCCAAATTTATGCACACATATTCCTATATTTATTTCTTAAATAAATATATAAATAATAAATAAGCAAACAAGTTTCACTTGAACATAATTCAGACAACATGAGAAAAAGTTAAAGTGCTTCCACATGTCCTCAAATCTCTGTGAGGTAGGATGGTGGCTGATACTTTTTCTCCAGTTGAGGAATAAAGAAGAAACCAAGACAAAGTTGAACAGGGACTGGTGCATCCTGGCCAGCAGGCTGGGGTGGAACGATGTAACAACAACAAAATATATCCAGGATTTTCAGCTAAATTTGAATTTACAGTAAACAATGAATAATATTTTTAATATAAGTGTGCCTAGATATTGCATAGGACAACATATATGAGACATTGGAAAAAAACTATTCATTGTTTTACTTAATATTCAAATCTAACTGGGCATATTGTATTTTATCTGCCCACCCCACACCAGACCCACACGGAACATGAAGTGCTGAAGTAGATTTCTTTGAAGTCTCATTGGCATCTTTACTGAGGAATTCTTGGAAACCATGGAGAATGTGCTTATTCGTTTAATGATTCCTGTTTCTCAGCCCTGAAAATAAATAAAATAAAAAAATTAATTAACAGTGTTCTAATAAGGAGGAAAGTATCGTTCTTGAATATATATTTACGAGGGAAATGAACAGTCTTAGATATTCATGTGTCAGAAGTATCCTAATTTTCAACTATGAATAGAGAGACAGATGAGTTATCATCCAAGCCAGGACTCTTCTGAGAATGAAAGGGAACCACACCAATGATACAGGGTACAGGCATAAGCCCAGAGTTCCCTGGTCAAACTGAGATATATGGTCTTCCCAGTCAAGAATACAACTAGTTCACTATTGCTACTTTTTTTTTTTTAATCAAAGGGCAGATCCCCAAAAGAGTAGAATTCCAGCAGCAACAGAAAATTTATAGGCTAACTTCTAGACTGTATGTCTCAGGATAAATGAAGAATCAAACAAACCAACCAACCAAAAAACACAACTTACCTCTTCAAAAACATCTGCACAACCTTCTGTACCCATTTTTCCTTGGGGTCCAGGCACACCTCTTTTCCATTGACAAGCTTTACACTGAAATGAGAGAGATATGATTAAATCAGTACTTAGCAGGTTTCAGACATCCCTTTGCCCTTCAGTTTGTGGTTCCTGAAGTATGAGCATAAAATCTGAGTCCAAGTCGTTTTTAGTTACGAGGCATGGAAGTTATCATATTTAAATGCCATGGAGACCAAGAATCTTTCTTTTCTGTTCTGCCCACTACTGTATTCCTGTACCTAGAACTTTGCTGGATACTTCCACCTTCCTCTGTTATAGGTTTGCTGTAGTTAACATATCTAATCACTTTTGAAAGTACTTACATGATTTCTGAGTTTTCACAATGTGGGCCGCTGTCAATTACTCTCAGTTCTTTGATATATTTGGGATGGAAAGGCGAGGAGTGAGTATTTATGCACTGGCATCGAAGTTCTGAACTCATTCTTGACAGAACTGCGGCTGTGAAAAAATAATAAAAACAAGGATTAATTTCATCCCAAACATGGCTCTCTAGCTACTCTCTCCTTAATTCCCACCTGATAATATGGTGACTGTATGTTTGGTAAACATCACCTCTTTAGTAAAGTCATTCTTGAGGGAGAAGCCTGGATATTCTCCTAGCCCCTAAGTTCAATTAAAAAAACAACAGCTGTCATTAATGACAGCATTGATTGACTTCCTTCATAAAGACTTGGAGTTGTCTTTGTGAAATGTTGACATCCTTGTGGTACTTTTTCTTCTAGTTGATATTGTGTAATCTTCTGTGATACCACAATGCTATTTATAGTATGTAAACTAAGATTCAACCACAGAGAAATTGCCTTCAGAAAGAATTAATAGAAATATGTAAGTTTCACAAAGATGTCTCTTATCTTAGCAAAATCTGTAATGCTTAATGGAAAAGAAAAAAATGTGAAAACAAACATTTCTAACTGTATTTCTTTCATGGGAGGGATCCAAGAAGATTGACAATTTGTCAGGGTGTCTTTAAATCCAAGATGAAATGATAGCGTCTGAAGCTTGTCAATAAAACTGCACTTGGAGTAAAGTTACCCGAGTTACCTCCCTCGATATTAATAAATAATATGGGTAATTGTGGCCCCTCATAAGATATACTCTAGGGGCGCCTGGATGGCTCAGTTGGTTAAGTATCCAACTCTTGATTTTGGCTCCGGTCATGATCTCAGGGTCGTGAGACTGAGCCCTGCATCTGGCTCCTCGCTCAGCGTGGAGTCTGCTTGAGATTCTCTCTCTCTCCTTCTCCCTCTGCCTCTTCTCCCACACACTCTCTTTCTCACTCTCTAAAAATAAATAAATACATCTTTTAAAAAAAGATACACTCTAAATTGCAGATTTATATTAATGCATTTATATGTATGCATCCTATAGAGTATGAAAAATAGGAATGGGGTGTCTCTATTAATCAAACTTTATACTTTTCTAAGTATTGTAGAGATAAAACCTAAACAATTAAAGCTTCAATTTAACATTAAGTGACTGCAAATATTATTTCCTTTACTTGAATAAAAAGGATGTTTGCTATTAAAGCATTAAGGGCAATCTTGCTATCTGAGGATCACATTTAGACACAGGAAAACTCCATGGACCAGAAAAGTCTGCTTACCTTCACACAGAGCTGCAGAAAGCAGGAAAACTGCCAAAAGAGCAATAGCCAGCTTGGAAGTCATGTTGACACAAGGTGCCTTCGTTCTGGTTTCTCCCTGGCTCTTGTCCCAGATGCTGGTGAGCTCTGCTGTCCCAAGGGACTTCTGTTGGACAGAGAGCTTCTGTGGCTTTTTATATTATTCAGAGCAGCAGAGAATATGCACCCTCATTCTCGCATTATGTCAGAGGAAATTCCACAATATGCAACCATCCGCCTGCCCTTTGAGAGCATACTGAGTCATCAGACTCCTCTAATTTGTCTCATCAAATTTTTGGCAGGATCGAAGTTCTATTGGATCTTTAACAGAATTTAATTTATTTTATTTAAAAATATATTTGTTTTAAAACATGTTTAAAAACCATTGTTAGATATTCAAGCTTCTTTGATACATTATTATCAGTTGTACTTTTTTATGTATAAATAAGTTTATTGTTGTACTATCTGGCAGTTGTTTGAGTAAGGTCATTTATGATTACCCTTTTAGGGCACGGTCATTTCTTTAGGTAAATTATGTGTGCTGCAGTGATAGAGAAAGTAATCTCGTCAACCACTTTTATTGAAGACATAATTTTGAGAAGTCTTTTTCTGAGTGTTTTGGAAAGTCTCCAGGAACTATTACCATTCCCAAGGAGCATATTACAACTCTTCACAAGGTTTGGCTTTCTAATGTATGTTTGAAAGAATGAAAAGGCACATCTTCAGTTCCAAAAATATTTATCAGGTAACTTCTGAGTAATGTGGGGGTCTAGAGATAGATAAGACTAAATACTTGTTTTCAAAGAGTTTGGTCTATCAGAAGAAGAAAGTGATATAAGGACCTTACTGTAAGTGGTACTGATATGTTAATTCCAACAAGGGCATAAAGACAGAATATTCCATAAGCAGTGTGAGCAGGATGTTGAAGGATGAGAAGATGGAGAAAAAGAGCACATTCTACATAAAGACATGGTTCAAGGACAGGTGAATGAAGATATGTCTATGCTCTAGGAAGCAGTTCACTGGGGTTATTAGGTTGGGGTGGGATGAAGTGGTATCTAATGGAAAAGTAAGCAGTGTATGCTTGGTGGATAAAAGTTCAAACTCTGCTTCAGCCACCTAATTTTTGTATGACTTTTAAACTTTCTGACTTCCGGTCTCTGTATCTACAAAATGGGTTTAATAACACCCCCATCTCATAAAGTTAATTTATATAAACTTCCTGGCTTAACTTTTAAACTAGTAAATTCTCACTTATTCCAAATGCTGTGACATATTTCTCATCTTTGTCAGATTACTGATTTCCATACTGCAAGGATATTCAACCAACAGTTGTTTCCTAAAAATCTCATTTGCCTTAGAGGCATTCTTGATAAAAGATCAGTTTCTGAAATACTAGTTGAGCCAGCTTACAGCATGCGATATGACAATATGATAAAATAGAAACATCATCAGTTCCAGTTATCATTTGCTAAAATTAAAGCTCCAAATAAAAACCTGACTGCATTAGCATTCAAGTTGCCCTCTCAAATGAAAATCTGGAATATGGAGAGTCTTGAAATCTATAGAATTCTAGAACTCCTGAGGAAGTAACTCATTTAAACTCTGATACAAGATTTATTTTTTTTTTAAGATTTTATTATTTATTTACTTATTTGACAGAGAGCACAAGCAGGGGGAGCCAGAGAGGGAGGAGCAGGCTCCCCACTGAGCAAGCAGCCCGATGTGGGGCTCGATCCCAGGACCCTGGGATCATGACCTGAGCCAAAGGCAGATGCTTAACCAACTGAGCCACCCAGGTGCCCTGATAGAAGATTTAAATTAAATTCTTTGACAAAAAATGATTGAAAATTAAAGCAACAGGAATAATGTTTCAGAATTTGAGCATTTGAGGTTTGGGGAGAAAACTTCCCTTGCTGAAAGATTTGTGTGGTGACCTCAGCTTAATTTCTTCAATATCACTTCAATTTACTTGATGTCAGTGACAGTGTGTGTGTGTGTGTGTGTGTATTAATTAATCCCCACAGCAATACCATAAGTAATAATGCCCTCATTTTACAGATGAGGAAACTTAACAATGTCTCCAAGTTAATATATCTAAGTAGCAGTGTTGATGTTTCAAAAACTTACTTGAGTTAGCCCTGGTCTAAAACCACTTTCACAAAGGGGGGTTGAAAGAACTTTTCTTGAGGACCCTAAGATACAAAGCCATCCTTTTATGACTCAATGAAGTTTCTTACTCTCTCCGTTGGTCCTCAGAGATTAGTCTGGGTTTTGTTTTGTTTTGTTTTGTTTTCAGATAAAAGACACTAAGAGAAGGACTAAAACTCTGTCCATATCTGGGCAAGTACACAATTAATAAATAATTCGGTTGATTCGACATCTTTCTGATTTCCCAGGAAGCTGCCTAAAGCAGTGAGCTTGTCTGCACAAGTGTGTGGGGATGGAAATATCATGTTTGAGTGTTTTCCCAAGAGGTTATTCAGTTTTTTAGTACAGGCATACATCGTTTTATTGTGCTTTGCTTTATTGCTCTTCACAGATACTATGTTTTTTATAAATAGGTTTGTGGCAACCCTTTGATGAGCGAGTCTGTAGCTGCCTTTTGTTTAACAGCATTTGCTCACTTTGCATCTCTGTGTCACATTTTGGTAATTCTCACAATATTTCAAATGTTTTCATTATTATATTTACTGTGGTGATCTGTGATCAGTCATCTTTGGTGTCACTACTGTAATTGTTTCAGAATGCCACAAAACACACTCAACAGATGACAAACTTAATCAATCAATATATGTATTCTGACTGCTACACCTACCAGCTATTCCCCACCTTTCTCTTCTCAGGCCTTTCTATTCTCTGAGACACAACAATATTGAAATTAAGCCAATTAATAATACTATAATGGCCTCTAATTATTCAACTGAAAGGAAGGTTGCATGTCTCTCACTTTAAATCAAAAGCTAGAAGTGATTAGTGAGGAAGACATGTCAAAAGCCAAGATAGGCCTAAAGTTAGGCCTCTTATGCTAAACAGTTAGCCAAGTTGTGACTGCAAAGTAAAGTTCTTGAAGATATTTTGAAGTGCTACTCTCGTGAACACATGAATGATAAGAAGAAAAACAGCCTTCTTGCTGATATGGAGAGAGTTTGAGGGGTCTGGATAGAAGATCAAACCAGTTACAACAGTCACTTGAGCCAAAGGGGAATCCAGAGCAAGGCCCTAATGCTCTTCAATTCTGTGAAGGCTGAGAGAAGTGAGGGAGCTGCAGAAGAGAAGTTGGAAGCTAGCAGTGGTTGGTTCATGAAGTTGGAGAAAAGAAGTCATCTCCACAATATCGAAGTGCAAGGTGAAGCAGCACGTGCTGAGGAGGAAGCTGCAGCGAGTGATCCAGAAGATGGAGCTAAGATCATTCACGAAGGTGGCTACACTAAATGACAGATTTTCAGTATAAACAAAATAGTCTTCTATTGGAAGAAGATGCCATCTAGGGCTTTTATAGCTAGAGAGGAAAAGTCAGTGCCTGGCTTCAAAGCTTCAAAAGACAGGCTGACTCTCTTGTTAGGGGCTAAAGCAGCTGGTGACCTTAAATTGAAGACAATGCTTATTTACATCTCAAAAAGCCTAGGGTTTTTAAGAATTATGCAAAATCTACTCTGCCGTGTTCTCTGAATGGAACAACGAAGCCTGGATGACAGCACATCTGCCTACAACATGATTTACTGAATGTTTCAAGCCCACTATCTAATGCTTAGGGAAAAAAAAAAGATTCCTTTCAAATTATTATTGCTCATTGACAATGAACCTGGTTCCCCAAAAGCTTTGATGGAGATACACAAGATTAATGTTGTTTGCATGCCTGCTTAACATAACACAGCATCCATTCTGCAGCCAAGGATTAATTTCAACTTTCAAGGCATATTATTCAAGAAATACATTTCATAAGTCTATAGCTGCCATCGATGGTGATTGCTCTGATGGATCTGGGCAAAGTAAATTGAAAACCTTCTGGAAAGGATTCATCATTTTAGATGCCATTAAGAACATTCATGATTAATGGGAAGAGGTCAAAATATCAATATTCACAGGAGTTCGGAAGAAGTTGAATCCAACCTTCATGGGTGACTCTGAGGAGTTAAGATTTCAATGGAACCAGTAACTGCAGATGTGGTGGAAATAACAAGAGAATGAATATTAGAAGAGAAGTCTGAAGATGTGATGGAATCACTGCAATTTCATTGATAAAACTTGAATGGATGAGGAGTTGGTTCTTACGGATGAGCAAAGAAAGTGGTTTCTTGAGATGGAATCCACTTTTGGTGAAGATGCTGTGGCGATTGTTGAAATAACAACAAAAGATTTATAATGTTACATCGATTTAGTTGATAGCAGCATCAGGGTCTGAGAAGAATGACTCCAATTCTGAAACAAGGTCTAGGTAAAATGCTATCAAGCAGCATTGCATGCTACAGAGAAATTGTTCATAAAAGGGTCAATCAATGTGGCAAACTTCATTGTTGTCTTATTTAAAGAGACTGCTACAAACATCCCAATCTTCAGCAACCACCACCCTGACCAGTCAGCAGATCATCGAGGCAAGACACTCCATCAGCAAAAAGATTTAACTCACTGAAAGTTCAGATAATAGTTAGCATTTTTTAGCAATAAAGTATTTTTTAATTAAGGTATGTACATTGTTCTTTAGACATAATGCTATTGCACACTTAATAGACTACAGTATAGTGCAAATATAACTTTTATAGGCACCAGAAAACCAAAAAATTTGACTTGCATTATTGTGGTGATCTGGAACCAAACTCACAATATCATTGAGGTATGCCTATAATCATGTTTCTTTCTTTTTCTTCCTCCCACCAACCTAAGACTTGAGAAGTAAATAGTATGTGAGTTACATTACCTTTTGTAGCAAAGTAAATATTTATATATAATACACTTCCTATTGTTTTTAACTCTACTATTTCAGGAACATGATTGTTCATTTAATCACTCAGTATATATCATTTGCTAATGCTAGGTATTGTAGTGGGAGATGTGAATACTATGTAAATAAGATATTGTCTCTGACTTCAAGGAGTTTCCAGTCTAGTGCAGGGTATGGATAATTAGTTATACAAGCAAGTACAATACAGTGATGTGGAGCAAGTAAACAGGACCTCTGATGCAGTTTTGATGAATGGAAGTTTTCTGAAGAAATGACTTCAAAA